TTCCAACTATTGTATATAAATTATTGATTTGGCATGGTTATTCTTCAGTCACGGCTTTCCACTGATGATTGTGACAAGAAAATCGATTTTGGTAAACCTTCATGACTTTGTTGTAGTGTGGCGATGACAGCAGAATTTGTTCTCTTTATAGCTATTATAAAATTGTTGTCTCCGCGTCGATTATTTATATAGTATTTTCAAGTATGATTACAAGCTTTCTGAACTGTAAGCTGATAGTCTCATATTGAATGTTCAAACTCCGATCGCATTACTGTTAGGGTAAACCTCTGGTAGAAGTAAACATGTCTTCTTCTGCCGAAGATTCTTACCCAGGTGTTTGTGTACCTGCTGTGTTCTCCAGCCGACAAGATACAAGTTCAGATGATACACGAGGGTCGTGCCGTACGCTGGTGCACGCGTCAGAACGTCACGTTGGACATACCGCCGCCGGAGCACAGTCTCGCTGTCAGCATGAAGGTCCTGTACAAGTACAACTATGTCGGAGACAGGTATGCAGCATTCACTGTGTCATTCCAATGAATACGTTTAGTGTACAGCACCCTGGGTATAACATTCTTTTCGCTCTAAAAAGTACTATTTGTGAGGGCCCTGCATTCTACTAACAGTTAAACCAGTCCATTGACTTTGGACTTAAGCACTTGGACTATAAAGTGCAGGTTTTTATGGCTTTCAGGGGTATGTTATATTGAAGGTGTCACTGTATCTGAGCCATCGTACATGCAGTGATATCCCTAGCACTGGTTTGATATGGAGTATGTAGCATTTACGACGGTGTTGTTTGCCTCACAGTCAGTATCCGTCAAACTGGTCTTTGCGACCCTGGTCTGGGTTGGGGTTTGAAGCACTTTCACTGCCACAGGCTACGCTGGTGCAATGCAGCCATGCTCTGCACATCCATGAAACACCTGCCTGTCAAAGTTCAACTTTGGCACTTACCCTCTTCTGCTTAAACTGCACTCTCAGGAAATGAGAATCAATCTATGCTTACACTTATCGCTACTCAGCTCAGCTGTATGTCGCACACTTTGGGGCATACTGCACTGCACTTGGAAGTCTGTTTAGGCGATGGATTCTGAGAGTAGAGATCACAGTACATTTCTCTACTCTCACTGTTTATCTCTTGCCCAGCTATTACAAGCTTGGAGATTTGGAAAGTGTCAACCACTTGGACAACAGGTGAGTTTTGTCCATTGACGTTCATTGACCTACGTGTATTGTGGTACTTGTGTGTCAATGTGTGGGAGTTTCAGTGGATAGAGGACACTGCGCATGCCTCTAAGATTGCTGATACAGCATGGCTCTGTTAGGCCGCTGAGGTTTGGAAAGTAGCCAGGTTTGCCGTGGTCAGTGTTGGGTCTTGCTCCTGTTTCTCAGTCTCAGTGTTTCTCAGTCTCAATGTTTCTCAGCCTGTCACAATGCAGTATGTAAGTAGGGCTGAGTCGGGTAGCATTTTCTTCGGGGGAAGTAGCGCTGAGTCGGGTAGCATTTTCTTCGAGCAGTTTTCCACGGGTAGCACGGGTATCCTGTCGGGTGATATTTCCATGGTAACACCGCAATGCAACCCTTCCCTTACACACTGGGTCGACATGCGGAGTATTACATGAATTTTGTACACGAGCACTGTACATGATGTCATCTGCGACTTCAGGTTTTCTGGTACTGTTCTGTACCCGTGTGCCCGAGGTCCTCACGGGTAGCACGGGTACCCGACTACCCGTGCACACCACTATAAATTTGTCTGTCATCTCTCGGTCTCTCCCTTATAGTCAGTCATTTTCTTACAATACCAATGTCTTCTCAACCTCCCTGTTGTCCTACTTGTGAGTGATGGCCAGTAGTGCTTTTGTGAAGCTAAACAGTTCTAACACCCATCCTTTGCATGATCCTTATGCCTTGGTGGTGATGACAGTGCAGACACTTATTCGTAGGCTTTGACTGTGCACCTGGATGGTGCAAATTAGATCTAGCATACCGTATTTCAACAAATAGTAGGCCGGTCTACTATTTTTTCAACCTCGTCCTAACCCGGCCTTATAATCGAGGACGGTCTTGTATTCGAGGACGGTCTTTTATTCTTTCAACCCAGTTTGACCCCGGTCTTCTATTTCTCGCCACACAGTTTTACCCCCGTTCTTAAATTTTCTTCTACACAGTTTGAGCACAGTCTTCTATTTTTTCCCACAGTTTGAGCACGGTCTTCTATTTTTAACACAAGAACAAAGACTCATATAGTAGGTCCGGTCTTCTAATCGGAGACGGTCTTTTATTTTTTCAATCGCCCCCTGCCCCGGCCTTGTATACGAGGAAGGCGTTGTATACGAGGACGGCCTTTTATTTGCGGAAATACGGTAGCCTGAAGTAGAATCATCAGGGGCATCGGACACGGTACGGTCACTACGGTATTGACCGTACAACTTCTTGCCCCGGGTACACCGTGAATCAATACAACACACTGATCTGGGCTCTAAATTTCCTAAATTTTCGGCTCAGCCACCCCTCCCACACGAGTAAACTGTACTTCAGATGGCTGCCTGTACCACACTAAACTACCTTTGATCAGCACTTTGTTCCGTTAGATTGTAGCTCTGCACAAGTCAAATAGTGTGTGAATTCTTACTCATTATCAAGTGGGGATTTGAACTGCATGGGTAATGTAACAAACACTCTTTTGCAACCCACTGTAAGTCAACAAACATTTGGCGCATATTTATTACGAAAAAGGTGAGGGTTAAGATAAAGAGCAAGTGTGACAAACGCGCATGAACAGTGCAGAAACAACTCATGAACACGAGGTGCAAACTCACGAAAATAACCTAAGTGCTACAACATGTTCTTTTTGCTTACACAAATCGGGCGTATGCGTACGCCGCGGAACACAAACAGCTTCAAGGACCTTCAACTGCTAGACATAACGGGCACGACACAGTACAGGGAAGTGGGAATCATCATACACACTCAAACAATCGGGACGAGATAACAAATGCAAGTACACAGCTGACTTCTTACGAATTTCACCCTCATCAGCTCCATCACCTTCCCTGCCACCTGACTCCTCCTCGTCCGTTTTATCACCATCACCACCAGCCGTCTCATTCATCGCCATCCGCCTCGTCGTCATCCGCTGCCTCGTCATCCGCCGCCTCGTCATCATCCGCCTCGTCGTCATCTGTATCTTCGTCATCCGCCGCATCATCACCCAATCCGTATTCACCACCAGTCAGTCGTCTGATACCATCCGTGTTCTCCTCCCTACGTCTGTCCCGTGCCACTGTCCTTAGCTCATCCACGTCTCGAGATTGTGTTCCGTTTAGCTTCTGGCTTCTGGTCTCCTTCGATACTCCGCATTGGCCTTGGCCATTCCTAGCATATATTTCGGTTGAATAATTGGCGGTCGACCTCCGTGGTCTCTGGACCCGCGGATCAAGCGCCGGAGGGTGCTGCGGTGTCCGCACAACCGGATACTGTGTCAAAGAAATGGGATCAATTTCTGTGATTGGCGGTACTGTCGTTGTCGACTCCACCCCAACCCCAGCCACCAACGGCACTGGTGGTGGCTCCGGTGGTGGCAAGGGCAGCGGTGGAGAAGGCACATTCGGTTGGCTTAGTGATCCACCACTCTTCCTCTGCACCGTGTGTTCAACTTGCTCTGGCTGTGTCGGTGGTAGAGGGAGCGGGTTCTTGCATGGTCTTCCCCGCTTAGGGCGCTTCGCTTTTGCTGCGTCCGGCAACATGTGAAGTGGTACTTGCTGCTTGATATGTGCGCTCAGGTGTTAAAGGGTCCTACCAACGTACCGGCTATCACAATTCCGGCACTCAAATTGGTAGACCAAGTGGCTCAATAGGTGGGATGGTAGGACATCCTTCCTCGCCGTGAACGCACGTATCGTACTGTGTCGTGCCCGTTATGTCCAGCAATTGAAGGTCCTTGAAGCTGTTTGTATTCGTTCGCATAAGCCCGATTTGTGTAAGCAAAAAGAACATGTTGTAGCACTTAGGTTATTTTCGTGAGTTTGCACCTCGTGTTCATGAGTTGTTTCTGCACTGTTCATGCCCGTTTGTCACACTTACTCTTTATCTTAGCCCTCACCTTTTTTGTAATACTTATGAGTGATGTGTCACACTTCTTCGCATATTTATTATTCGGCTTTTTTCGGCCTGGTCGTATTTGGCCGAAAATTTGTTGCGGTCGAAATTTAGTTTTGCAAGGTTCAGTTTGACTGTGTAGACAGTCAGCAGTAGTACAGGCGGAAATTGTCATGCCGCCGAAATGGGTTTTAGGCCTGGGAGGCCGAAATTTGAGGCAGCAGCAGTACAGGCCGAAATGTTCATGCTGCCGAAATGGGTTTTAGAACTGGGAGGCCGAAATTTGAGGCAGCAGCAGTACAGGCGGAAATTGTCATGCCGCCGAAATGGGTTTTAGGCCTGGGAGGCCGAAATTTGAATGGGCCGAAACAGTATGCAAGTTCCACTTTCTGATGTGATTTCATTTTGCTGGTGTGCACAGCTACAAGATTTTCTCTGCCGTACGCAACGTGGCAAGGACGAAAGAGGATCTCCGCTTACCGCCTGAGGCTTTGGCTGACGCCCAACGCCGCAGTACGATGAACGCCAAGGAGAAACAGCGGGTCGGCGAGGCTGCGCACAAAGCCGCCGGCAAGTACAAGAAGAAAATTGGTGAGTTTGCGTGTTGTGCTGTGATGCGGTGATTATTAGAGGATACTTAGCGGAGTACTACGGACTATTTTGAAATTACTCTCGCTACTTTTTTTTTATTTTATTTTTCTACTAGTGCCCATGGACTCCAATCTGGTTAGAATTGAGGAGCAACATGGTGGTAAGATCTAGTGCACTCAGTCGACCTGAGGTAGGGAGTTCAGTTCCGGTCACTGAAAAGCGAAAAGTGCAGTCACAGCTCGCCTGTACAAAGTGAATGGGCGCCTCGTGGCTGCAGTTCGAGATGCAGTTCGCGGCCCGAGTATCTTCTCCCGCGGCCTTTTCGGCCTTGTCGATGCTATTTTCAGGTAGCTGAGGTCATTACCTTTCCAATGGTGCCACACATGCCATGCTTCCAAAAATAATGCCTCCGCGCTTGGCGCGGGTGCACTTCGAAGTACTAATTTCGACCAGATCCGTACTCGGCTTCGCGAGGAACACCCGATTTTCGTGTTCAGCGGCCTCGAATTAGCCTAAACCAAGAGGATTCTACAACATTGACGCTCGCGCTTTATCGCCGTAGAAGGAAAATGATCACAGAAACCAGCCCACGGCGATTTCCTGGTGGTAGACGAAAACATCGAGTGAACTGCGCGCACACTGGTAGAAGCAGTGACGGTGAAAACGTGTGACTTATGCAAGTCGGCGCGCACGGCATGCGTGCACACTGTATGCATGCACACATCCTGTATCGCCATGTATGCACCAGATAGTGCAGTGCTGGACGGAAACCACACGGCTCCCATACATACTTGCATTTACTTCTGTGACTACTCTCTCCCCCGTTTTCCGATCTTCAATCGACTATAACTCTAGATTGCCTTAGAATTTTGGGTTCAATTTTTCACAGGTTGTTTCTCGATTCTTCCCGGTTTAGAAAAACTAGCGTTTTATGCAAAACTCGCGAATTTGATTTTTCAATTGAAGTCCCTACCTGAGGTCTCGCCTTCATTGTTAACTAGATGCACTAGTCGGCGTGTACAGCTTACTAGATAGCAACTACCGTAAAGTCGCGGATAAAAGCCGGGCTTATAAGCATATAAGCCGCTTTCTGCATCAGGCTTTAATGCAAACCAGGCTTGTATGCACATCAGCACGCGTAGATCTACCACTGACTACCGGTATGGCGGCAGTTTTACTATGCACCGTACATAGCGCATGCACTCTTGACCTACCCGATCCGCGCTTGCATAGAAGCCAGGCTTCTACGCGCGACAGGCTTATATGCATTGACCCGTTTGATTTTATTTATTTTTTTGATTTTCAGGCTTCTATCCGCAATGTGCTTGTATGCAAACCCGGCTTTTATCCGCGACTTTACGGTATATTATTTTAAGTCAGTGATGCATTTAGTGTAAGTGATAAATAATCTGGCTGGCGTTCCCAGGAAGTTGACTGTACAGAAGTTCTACACTTTGCTAGGAAAATATCAATGTGACTGCAGCCATAGAGCCGTGGTTCTATTCCAAAGCCAGCTAGAGTTCTATTTAGGGGTCTATGAGCATGGCTGCAGTTGCTCTGTTTGAGAATTCGATTGATTTTATATTTGGGTGTGTGCGTTTGTGCATGTATGTGCATGTGTGTGTGTGCATGCATGCCCACGCGTGCATGTGCGTGAATGTGTGCATGCATGTGTGTGTGTGTGTGTGTGAATGTATGTGTGTGTGTGTGTGTGTGTGTGTGTGTGTGTGTGTGTGTGTGTGTGTGTGTGTGTGTGTGTGTGTGTGTGTGTGTGTGTGTGTGTGTGTGTGTGTGTGTGTGTGTGTGTGTGTGTGTGTGTGTGAATGCATGTGTGGGTGGGTGTTCATGTGCATGCATGTATGTATGTATGTTTGTTTGTGCGTATGTATGCAACATTGAACAGACTCAGTGCGTCGTAGGAAGGCAGCCAACATCTCTGAGGAAGGCCACACAGGAACAGTGGCCATGTTCAACAAGCTGAGCGGTAGAGATTCAGACCCAGGCAAGGGTGATCCTGCATGATACTTAGAATGCTCCTGGTATATATATCTCCAACTACACTACGCACATGTACTCACATGTACTCACATGAACCTCTCTCTATACAGAACTCCACATTCATGGGTAGAAATCCTCCGGCTTCCTTTACACATGTTGCATTATGGCCGTATATTTTTGCTATGCTCATTGCTTTCAGTTCTGCAATATTTTTTGGCTGTGCTAACGCTGATTGTACATAGCTTTTCCAGCGTGATCAGTTCTTTTCATGATGTTGTGACCGTCACTCCAGGTCTGTGTTTTATTTGTTGAATTTTATTATCTATTTACTCTTCGTGCTGTTGACGTTTCTGCTGCACTGCGTGGCTTTCACGTTATCCCTCCTGGGAGATGCTTTATCTAGCAAAGTACTCATCATTTCAATAACCTTGCTATTCTATTTTTAAAGGCGTCACCTTCTATCCGATTTCATGCGAGCGTGATGCGAGTGGCCGCTAATGCCTGCATTCTCACGTCAGGAGTGTCAAAGGCAGTGATCTGCCGTCTCTTGCCGCTCTGTCACTTTCTACTTTATCCCCAATCTTTAGAGATATACTTGAGTATGCTCTCACAGCAACTAGTTTTGTTTGCCTTGTTCTTCTAGGCATTTCAACGCAGCTGAAAATCTCTTCCTCTGCAATGAAGAGAGCGTTGTGCCACTTTGTTGTTTGCTCAGTAAAGTGCTCTTCACCAGTCAAAAATTCTGCTTTTGCATTTTTCATGAAGATGAAAGCTCATCAGCCTAAGTGCTTTCATCAATCTCCTCTATCACACGTTGACGTGGAGCGTGTGCGTGATGTGCTTTGCACGGATTCGGAATGCATGCACCATACTTGCATGTACATGTATTTGCAAACACTGTATGTGTGTATGTGTGACTCAAGATGACTGTGTAGAGAAGGAGAGATGGCTCAGGCATGTGTCGGTGTGATTTGTGCACTTGAGGCGTTGAGAATTGACTACAATAGGTGTCCTCATTGATGATCTGGCAGAGCTTGTAAGCTTCAGATCTGCTCAGATTTACCCGGTACCCAGCTGTTGTTTGTGTGTGTGTGTGTGCGTGCATGTTTGTGTGGTATAAGAGAAAATCGTTGGGTTTTCAGGTCTTTATGCTTCCGAGAATCTCTTGCGACGGGCACATACGTTGTACATGGTACATAGTGTGTGGTGTGTGTGTGTGTGTGTGTGTGTGTGTGTGTGTGTGTGTGTGTGTGTGTGTGCGTGTGTGTGTGTGTGTGGGCGCGCGCACCCACCATGCACATGTGTGTCTGTACATGGTGTGTGTCTGTGGGTGTGTGTGTGTGTGTGCGTGCATGTGTGTGTCTGTGTGTGCACGTGTGTGTCTGGCTGTTTGCGTGCGGGGCTAGGCAAGACGAAAAGTATCGCTTTACACATAGTAGATCTGCAAAGAAAATTAATATTCTGTTGCCAGTAGCTGTGCTTGCGTGTGCCCGCCAAGTTACACATACTTCACATAATAGAAATAATTATGACTCCAACGTGATTGATTTCAACAGGGAGTCATCGGTTTTCGCCAGGGAGCCGTGAAAACCTGACCTCTGTAACCAAGTGTTACCTTGAGCCGTTCACCAGCTGCATGTTCAACAGTTTGAGGTGCTCAGAAATCACTTCGTCCGCGGATCCGGGGTCTACGTGTAGATCTACACTAATAGTAATGTGTGTTGAACATCTTTCGCGGCTTGGTCTGGGGGGTGCGTTCTCATTGATAAAATTAATGCAGCTACATCATTTTCGTCAAGTTAGTTTTCTTTTGAAGAAACATCCGCCATGAAGTTGTTGAAGTTTATTTTCCCAGTACTCGGCTATAAATTGATACATTGACCACTTCTTTCCTTGCATAGCATTGGGAATTGGCATAGACGACTGCTCTGCGGGCCAATACGATAGTTCATTTGGGAAGGATGCAGCTGTTTCTTGTCTAAAGCCTAGGTAAAATGTAGTTCAGAGAAGGGAAAGTATTTTTTGCTGTGGCTGAAGAACACCATAATATTAATAATTCTTTGCCGAAAAGTACGGTCCATGTACTTTTAGGTCATTGGCACTTTCCCGACGACGGGTTGTGGCTGCATCAGTTCATTCTCTTAGCGGTGCCTGCTAGAGGAACGAAAAAGTGGTGCAATGTCGAAGACATGCGTGTTCGCAACTTCTTTGAACATGTTAGTGGATGAATTGGGTGTTGCTCCCTATGTTATTGGATGATCTTCAAAAGATAATGGAATCTTCTTCAGTGGATCATGGAGGCACCCCATCGAAGTTATTGCTGTTAGCAAAGTAATGGTGGATATTCGAGGATATACCAGCTCATAGTTACGTGACTGTATGCGCTATCCAAGTGTTCGACGTAGATTACGAGCCGTACATCTACATCTACGAGTACATGGACACAGAAAGGGAACTCAAGTTCGCGCGATGGATGTGGACTCTGCCACTGGAAGCGCCCGTGGTGCACCTCTCACCGACACTGTCACTGTGCGTGTTCGCTAGTCTCACCAATACGTCATTGATGATAGACGACGGCTGGATCACCAGGAGATCATGTGAAAGTAAGGTTCTGCTCCTTTTCCTAATCAGTCTTACTGTCGTGGACCTGGAAATCCGGTCGCACGTCTAACGGCCCCAGGCAGGGCGCTGGCCATGCAGCCGTGGATAAGCGATACGGTCAGACCTCGCATAACCGCACACATCCGTTTTCCACAAAAATATCCAGATAGGCGAGGGAACCGGATAATCGAAAACACATACTCTATGGCATGCATGGCAAATGCTGTAAATCGGTTACCAACGATTTTCTTCCGGATCAGCGAGGACCGGATAAGCAATGCCTGACTGTACACACATGCATTTATGCGCTGCAGCGCGCTGGTCGCATCGGATCAACATGTGCACTGCATGCAACGTTCTGTATGCGCTGAGGGCGCCGGCCCCGGTCATTCGACTGGATTTCCTTGTCCACGACAGTAGGCGAGTACAGTACAACTACAGTCGACTCCTCTTATAACAAACTCGCAGGTGCATTTCGGTTATAGAGAACTTCGCGGCTATAAATAACTAATTCTCCTGCACGATGGTGTTCCTTATACTATAACCGGATGAAGGTATAGTTGGCTCCTGATAATTGCCATCAGGAGTCAACTACACCTTCATCTGGACATCCGGGCGGCGGTTGATTTGCCCTTATCCGTACACCCCTAATCCCCTAATCCGGGCAGGTCTGTCTACCACGCGTAAACTGGGCACCTTTCTTGCCTTTCTCGAGTCACAAAAATCAGCATTTCAGTGAAAAAAGACCCCAAAAACTGTGTTGGGCATGAAAAGTGTCTACTTCGATGCAATCAGTGTGAGAGAACATTGTATGTTCGGAGTCATGGGCGTTTCTTAGTTACGGGCAGCGCCAGGTCCCAGCCTGCCCGGATATAAGGAGACTGTTAAAAGAATGAATATCTACCTCCTTAGGACAAACTTCAATAGACTGAGCAAGTTTGTTTGTCTTATCCGGAGTTCTGCTTATCCAGATCTGACCGGAAAATGATGTACATATCATATCATGGGCTGTTTTTCAGCAAAATGGCTTGCTTTGGCACATGTAGAGCATCTATTCATAGTGTAAGCCAGCAACAGGTACAAATGTAATGAATTCATGACGGCATGTCCTCCAATTTGGCATGTACCATACTGTCAATCCGTGTTTTCCCGTACAAGAGGCCTCGACTATCAAAAAATACAGCAAGCGCTCGCAGGGCACCGGAAGTTAGTACTGTGCGCTGATTTTGTTCAATTCACGCATGATAATAGTTTGTCGCAAACGAATAGTTTTGACTAGATTTTATGCCTGATCAACCATAGGATTGGCCCTGGTTCGTAGAATTTGAAAGTTCGCTTTATCAGTGTTCTTCCTAAAAATTTTGTTTAACCGAAGTCTCTGGATTCGGGGACGGTCGTTAATTATCCCCGTCTGAATTTGGCGCAAAATCAATTCAGGACTTTTTGCGTGGTGCTGGAAAGGTCTTAGGGCTCACAAACTAATAAGCACATCGTCCAGTATTGCAAACGAATATGGTAATGGCATGGCAAACGGAGGTCAGTGTGGTGATTGTCTTGGACCGCTCTCATGCCAGATTTACAGTACGACACGTATTTAGAAGAGTAAAGCTCCATTCTCGTTCCACTTATACTGGCACACAAGGGGACATAACAATAGCGACAACATTCACATCGAAGGCTAGTTCCGCAGCCAGATATGAACCGGATAACGCGCGAGGCATGGAAGCAAGGAACGAGAGCAGAGTGTCTCAATTGGAAAAGGTGTGCATGCGGATTACAGCAATAGGCCATGATGGAGAACCACTTGGGACCGTCAAATAAATTTTCCTGGACCGTGCCAGCCAGGAAAAACCCCTCGCGCAGACGGACGCAAGTAGTGAGGGTAAAAAATGGGTGATTATCCCCAAAGGCGATTTGGCACCATGTAGGCATGGCAAGCACAGCATGGCAACAAGTTATAAAAAGCTATAATTATTGAGATGTAAAGAGATGAAGGGTGGGAGGGCAGGGACACTAGTGAGACCCAAAACTGACTGGAAAGTCAGGAAAAGAAACGACGATAAAGAACATACCAGATGCCACCTTTGCAACGGAACATGTTGCGCGATAAATCATGTCTCGATATCTCACTGCGCTTGGCGGGCGAGAAATACAACTTTCCTGGAGTAAATTCCCGGGGAATGTATGGACTCTGGTCAGCGGAAAACAGAGAGAACTTTGTGTTTAAATTATGGACTGATTTTATGCTGTTCTTTTTCGTTTCAATTTCAGTGATCAATTGAAGGGATGGTACTCTTGTCGGCACATCCGTGTGAGTGCAATGCACGCGAGAAAGAGATCTGGCATCGTCTCCCGAGTCAAGTTTTTATAACCTTCCTAGTGGCGTCTACCATCGACACCATTGGCGTAGTGTGGGTGACAGTGAGGGTTGCGTCCCACCCGCCTGTGTGGATTCACTGGAAGTGTGAGTTGCAAAGCCTGGAGAGGATGTTGGGCGGTCTCTACTGGGAAGACGGCTATACCTTACCTCAGTGGTGAGAGGATCGCTGGCCTCAAGCGAAGGTCCCTGGTTCGAATCCTGGTGGTGACAGTCAATTTTTTTCAGACTTTTCCCGTTTGCGTCTTTCCCTCAAACCAGTTACCAAAGGAGTGCGGATTGAGTGGATGTATGCCTTGCTACTGGATGTAGGAGATTAATCCTTATTATTATTTTAAAAGAAGTTCCCTATTTCCAGTGGAGGAGGCTCGATACGGCTATGTGTCACATGATTTCATCTAGCAAAAAAGGAACTCGGAGTTGCGTCAAACCCTTCGAACTACTTTGTGCTCTTTATGTAGAATCATTATTATCAGATTGAGAGACAGAGTAATCACTACTATGATGAATGTTGACTGCAATACTGATACTGATGAGCTAGATCGGCTGGCTGGAGAGCTGGAGCTTTGCTCACTTGCACTTGTCTAGATTCCTGGATGAAGCAATATAGTTCAGCTGCGGTGCTGGCTATACAGCAGAATGTTTAGCAACAGTGGTGGCTTGGGTCCAACGTTGTATTCTTCTGAGCACGAGTCTCCACTTTTCCGTGTGGTTACATATTTCCCAGGAAAAGGGACCATTTGCTACCGGCTGCATGTATGGACCTCCACAGTAAAACGGTGCATATGCATTGAGTGCAGTAGATCATCATCTGGGATTGTTCTCCTAA